AATAATAAGTAAATGCAATCAAAGACGTGTCAAGGGGGAAGAAACTTCAGATCAGAAGATCGAAGATGCTTCTTGCAAGCCAAGAAAACAGGTCAAAGGGAAATATTTTCATTTTTGAATGTGTTTTCTCTGCCCTTTGTCTCCGGGAGTGCCTTGGTGTTTTACCCAGGAGCGATCAGGCACAGCGGGGATGGATGTGGGTGATGCGGGACGAGCACATCCAGCTGATTCGGATGGAGCAGCCCCAGCTCTCTTTGCTCAGCCCCTGATGCCCGGTGGGGGCTCCTCCATCATCCCCATCCCCTCCCCGCTCTGGGCACTTTTCAGATCCAGGCACCCCGAACTGGCTTCGTGCATCCCCCTCTCCATCTGGAAGCGTTCGCCCCTTGGGACCAGAATGTCACAAGCAGCAGCCAGGGATCGATCAGGAGCAGCAAGGAGCCCTTCCTGCACTGCCGAAGGACTTTCCAGCAAGGTGCCTGCCAGGGTGGGTTTTTCTCCAACCACCACCTCTGCAAATGCATTTGGTTTTCTTTCCCCCGCTATTTATTTTTCCGGCGGTGTTTGCTGAGCCCACTCCAGAGAAGCAGCAGTGTTCAGCAGGTCCCTGCAGGTGGGGTGGGGAGTTTAGGGAACGCACTGATTTCCAGTTGTGCTGCCTCTGTTTTTGGATGGTTTCGAAGCCAGGGCATGGAGTGGCGGAGGTCCTGCTGGGAGGAACTGGGACCAGCAATGTGGGGAGAATGGCTGGGCGGGTGGAGAAGAGGCAGCCCATCCCTACAGGAAGGCAGCAGCCCAAGCACAACCCTTTGTAGCCACTGGAGAATCCACAACGGGACCCTTAAGCAGAGTGGTGACGGGTGCGGGCTCGATCTGGAGGCAGCACCCAGCGCTCAGAGCTGCCACTGAGATTGCAACGCTCCCCCGGGACCGCGGGCGCATAAACCCATGATGGGATTACACCGACCCAGAATTGGCATTTTTTTTCATCCGCTACAGATACGATTGAGAGAAGGCTTCGTGTTCACCGAGTAATCCCGGGCTCACTCGATAGCAGCCACGAGCGCGACGTGAGCAGCAATTATCCCTGGGTTTGTTTAAGGGCTGGTGCAGGAGGCTCCTCCACACACACACCGAGCTGTTTGCTCATCTGCTCTGTGGGTCCTGCCGGGCTAAACGTCTTGCACCACCCAAAGAGAAAGCGACTTGCTCCCAGGAACAAGCAAGATTATTTACATGGCATCGATCGGCGCGGAGCTTTCGCTGGCTCAGCGGTTTGAGCCCCTGGTTTTCATCAGCGGAGTGCTTAACCCTTGGGTAATTGGATTTGCCGGCGTTATTGTGATCTGTGCCGCCTCCAATTACTCTCCGGGCGGCCCCCCTGGGGCACCCGCGGCTTTGTGCGGAGACGGGGAGCCAAAATCGAGCCACGGCACCAGGTTGGGGGGAACAAAAGGATCCTGGCACGCAGGGATGGCGACTGCCTGGCGAACGAAGCAGACAAAGCTGGAGCTGGAGCTGGGTGTAAGCTCGGGCCAAGGAAGGTTTTAGTTCTCCCTGAGGTTTAGCTGGAGTTTCAGCTGTCCTAAGTGGTGTCTTGAGAGGATAGAGTTGGACCTTTAAAATGCACAGGGTGGGGAAATTAGCAGTGATTTATTAATTTTTTATTCCCTGATTTTTCCTGCGTGGCCACAAGGATTCACATTTCCTTGGGCTGGCACCAGACTCGTTGAGTGTCTTGGCCCCACAGCCCCCAGCTGTCCCTCAAAAGCAAAACATTCAGCAGGTGCCTGTGGGGAAGAACTGATAAAGCCACGAGCCATCTCTTGCATCCTTCTTTTCCCTCCCAGCCAAGAAAACGCCTCTATCGGTCACGCCGCGGGGGCTCAGCAGATGGGTGACTGGGTGACATTTGCTGCTCCACGTCACGGGAGGTCAGCCAAGACGGTTTTCATGACCTTTAAATCCACCAACTAACAAAATCGAAGCCTTCCTCGGGCTGTGCTGTTGGGAACACCGGCAGCATCTGCTGCGTGGGCTGGGCTGAGCCTGCAGGAGCTGCCGGGGCTGGAAACCCGCAGCTGGGGGCTGGGGACAGATCCCCCACCCACAGCACCCACCAAAGGTAAAAAAAAAAAAAAAAGGCAAAGAATTTGCTCCCTCCTCTGCTGATTCAGTGAGAGGAGAAGGTTTTACAGGACGGGAGGTGATGGAGCCTATTTAAAACACTGGGTCTGCCTCTCGTAACGCCACCCTGATAGCATCTCCAAGGCGGTCACACTTTTAAAGCCATTTCCCCGATGCTGTTATCTAATGTTTAAGCCAGGAGTTTGCAAACCAGCTCGAGATCCTGGAGTTTATTAGAAGCGATGGTAAAATCCTATAAATTGTTGGGAAATTCCTAGAAAACACAAAGAAAGGGCCTCGACCCTGGAAATGTTCCCTTCTGGGCATTTATGGCTTTCACAGGGCTAAAACCCCATGGAGGTTCCCCAAAAGCTTCCCATCGGTGCAGCCCTGCAGAGCTGCTGTTGGCTGGCTCCAACCCCAAATTCCCCAATCTTCCCTGCCACAGGGGGCAAATTTTGGCAGCCCCAGGTTAGCAGCAGGGGAAAAAGCTCCCAGCACAGAGCAGCCCCAGAATACCGGGGTTTTATGGGGCTTTCCTATTCCCCCATCCACATTCCTTGCTGAGCCAGGCAAAAAAAAAAAAAAAAAAAAAAAAGAGCCAAGAGACCCCAGAAATAGCAGTGCAATTACCAAAGTAATTATCCCAGCTGCTGTGCACTGGTAATGTCAACAGCGAGGCGTGGGGGGGGCAGGTCCTGTGTTAATTAAACTTCCCCCGGATGGCGCTGATGGCAGTCAGAGGCATCTCGAGGGGGAGCACAACGGGGATGCGCTGGGGTGGGAGTAGGGTGAAGGGCCCCGACTGCTGTCACTTGGCAAGAGAAAACCCAGGGAGGGAGAAAAAGGTGGGTGAGAGCTTGGGGAGGTGGCTGGAGGGGACAGAGGGTGGTGGGACACCTGGGTCTGACCCCCATGGGGAGGACGGCCCCACCATGACCTTGGTGCAGGGAGATCCCAAATCTTCACCCTGCTCTCTCTGTTGCTTGAAGGGCTTGGGTGCTTCAAGTGGTTTGACCATTTTTTAATAGGATATGGTTTAAGGGGGATGTTTGGCTTATGGGAAGGTGGGGACTGGAGGGGAATCAAGCCTCAGAGGGGTACAGGGGTGTCAGTCCCCAGCTCTGCCCCCCCAGGTGCTGAGCTCCCCCCAGCCCCGCATTACACCACACATTTGTGCCTGCCTGCTGGGAGCAGAGAGTGAAACCCTATAAAGGAACGAGGCAGAAGAGAATAAACAGAGGGCAGGCTGGGAGGGGAGCTGGAATAGAGGTTTCTTTTTTAATTCTTTTCCACTCTTCCCTTTTTCTTCCCTGGGATTTGGCCACTGGAGGGCTGTTTGCTTGCTTTATTCACGGTACGCGGAGTAGCAAGCGGGGAAAGTGCTGGTTTGGGACCGGCTGTGGGTGGCTTCCCCCAGTGGGTGCCACCAGCCCCCACGAGGGTGGTCCGGGGGTGGTGGGAGCCCCCCAGCCCCCCTCCCTTTTGCAGCCTGTGTAAAAAAAAATAAAATAAAATAAAATCCCAGTAATGGGACCAGGTGTTGGGTCATAGGGGTACACATATTGTGTAGGTGCATCCATGCACCCGAGCAAAGTCCTTGGCATCGGTACCAGGAATGCACACAGAGCTATATATATATAGCTTTATATATATATAGTGATATATGTCCATACACACCTTGTGTATGCATATATATATGTCTGTACTTCTAAATATATACATATTTACGTAGCAAGAAATAGCTGTAGGTATCTAGAAGGTTTCGCTGTCTTCATCCAGATGCCCTGAGCACGTCTGCCACCGGGTCCGGCACCGGTGTCCTCGCCACATCACCGCGCCACCCCCACCGGTGCAGGGGGGGCAGAGGTGACACGGGCAGGGGCAAAACCCTGTGCGGAGGTGACAAAATGCCACTGTCGGGAGGAGGCAGCAGGCGAGCAGCTCATGGGGATTGCTGCAACGGGGGCCAAACCCTGTCCTCCCCTCCTGACTGCCACAAGCCCAGGTTGCGCTCACAGAGCAGGAGCCAGGCACCGCTGCAGCTTATTACCATTATAAAAAGTTATTATGCACTTTTCTTACCTCTCCCCGCTCCTTTTCTCCTTCCTTCCTTTTTTCCTTTTTTTTTTTTTTTAACAAATATTCATATATGTTAATTTAACGAGGAGGTTTGGTGGCTCCAGGCGGGGAATTGGGCTGTATTAATTTTACTGCTCCGAAGCGCTATCAGATCGGCGGCTCGCACAGCCAGACCTGTGTCCTTTAGATAAGAGGGCACAGTAAAACATAACTGCATCACCCACCTGGTCTTTGAGCACATCTCAATTCCCTCACATATATATATATGGATATGTGGATATAAAACCAGCACAGAGCTATCGGGAAAGTTTTAAGGCCGCTCGGGGGAGAAATTTCCATAACCCCAAAAAAAGATAAACGCCTTAAAGAGACTTTCAAGACGCTGCCCCAGGCTGCTGCTGTCCTGCCAGGGAAACTGAGGCACGGGGACTGGTGAGATGGGGCTGTGCCATCATCCCCTCTTTGATCAGGCTGCTGAGGTAGGGAGGGTTGGGGACAGGAGAGCCCCAAATCCACAGCATTTGTCCCCAAAGTGCTTGGTGCTCCAATAGGCATCAAAGCCAAGCGATGCCCCTAGAGTGCCAGCAGTGGTTCTGCCATGGGTTTGAGGTGCAGAGGGGGGACGACAGTGCTGTGTGTGCCCTTTTCCCCCCCAGCAGAACCCACCTGGCTGGGGTGACCCCAAACCAGCCCCGACGTAGGACAGGGCACTGCAGCAGAGCTGCAGCCATCACAGCGCTGCAGCGCCTTTTGGTTTTGGCTTTCCATTTCATTGTGGGTTGTTTGTGTTGTTTTTTTTTTTTCTTTTTCTAGTCTTTTATTTAAGAAAAAAAAATAGACACAGTGGTGGGTAACTTCCGATCCAGAAATAATCCGCTGCCAGCCGCCACCTGCCCCCTCCACCAGATGATGCTCGGGACCCCCAACCCACCGGCCCTGGTACCCGGTGGTCCCCACGGGGTCAGCCTGGCTGAGGATGCTCCATGATGGGGGTGCCTTTGGGGCTGGGGATGGGGTGACGGGGGAGGTTATGGCAGTCAGAAGGCACCACGGAGGCTGAGCCTGGCTGCGGGCATCCCTGCTGGGCTGGGACTGGGGGAACTGGGCTGGGACTGGGCATGGTGTCCCCACCGGGCTGGCACCGAGGTGGGTGGTGGGAAGCCCCTGCAGCGTCTCCCAACCACATCCCAGTGTTGGGAGGCCAGAAACCAGCAGCCCTGGGGCAGAGGCACGTGGTCCCCGAGGGATGCCAAACATTAATGTCACCATCCCACATGGAGCAGACAGCGGGCTCGGGGTGGGGGGGGGCAGGCTGTGCACCCCACACCCCAACAGCCATAGGACGGTGAATCCTTGTACCAGCACTCACCTCTGAAATTGTGCAACCAGGTGCAGCAAAGGGGGTTGTGCGACCCCCCGGGTATGGTGGGGGTGCCTTTGGGGACCCCCACCCGCCACCTGCCTCCTCAGCTCCTGGGAGGGGGCCGGGATATCTCCACTCTTCCATCCTCTGCCCCACAGGACCCGCAGCATCGTCCTGCCCTGTTTGCCATCGCGCACGTGCTCAGGTTTTGACCTCACCCATCTCCAACCCCCAGCTCGCCTCCCTCGTGCCCCCCTCCCCGCTCACCAGCAGGCTCGGTGGCTGTGCGTGTGCTCCTTGCCTCCCCTGGGGACAACCAGCCGGGAAAGGGCAAGAAAAGAAAAAGGCCCCCGGGGGTGCCTCCGGACGGGGTGAGGAGGATGTGAGATGTGCGAACGGGAACACGCCAGAGAGCCCGAGTTGGGTCTCCGGCCCCGGGAAGCGGCCGGCGTGGCGTGGCGTGACGTGGCGTGGCGTGGCACGGCGTGGCAGCCCCCTCCCTCCCGCCCCGTCCCCTCTGCCCCTGCGTTAAGCGATCTCTTTGATTCTGCGGATGTAGTTGTGAAGCTCTTCGGGGTCTTGCAGCCCCATGTCCTGGCAGACCCACTCCAAGTCCTCCTCATCGGCGATGGGGATGGAGTTGTAGGCCAGCTCGTCGGTGGGCAGCGTGGCGAAGGTGGTGAACTTCACCCGCTTCCGCTTGGAGGTGGGCGAGTTGAGGGGGTCCTCGCTCTGGTCCCGCGTGGAGCCCCCCGAGGAACCGTCCCCGCGGCCGTGGACCTGGCTCTGCACGCTGGTCTGCGAGCTCCCGCTGCTGTGGTGGTCCGCGTGGCAGCAGGTCTGGACGTTTTCCAAGGGGTTCCCGGGGCTCTCGGGCTGGGGGGAGAGGTCATTGTGAGCCCGCAAGGGCTGCCCGTTGCCCAAGAAGACCCAGTGGTGGGAATGGTCCATGTTGGTCTGGCCTTCGGGCGGGATGCGTTTGTGCCGGTATTTCAGCACAAAGACAATGCAGTTGATGAGGAAGACCAAGATGGCCAAACAGAAGACGCCCAGCAGGGCGTACATGCCTATCTCCAGGTCCGTCAGCCCCCTGGTCACCTGCACGAAGCCGGTGGGGATGGTGGGGAAGTCCTCGGTGGGGTGAGACGCGCTGGACATCCGACTGTCCTCGCTCGGCTCCGCTTTCCTCTCCACCTCTGCCCGCAGGGTGGTGCTCGCCCCCGGCTCCGCCAGCCCCGGCTTGCTGGGGACGTGGTCGTAGTCGTAGGTCGGGTCCTCCTCGGAGCCGAAATGGACCCGCACGCTGGCCAGGGCCGTGAAGAGCACGCTCTTGCGCTTGGTCTTCTGGCAGCTCTCGCAGATGACCAGCTCGGCCCGCAGCAGCTCCCCGGAGCCCTCGCTCTCCGCCACCACCAAGGGGAAAGCCCGGTCCTGGGTCACCGAGACCACCTTCTCGTCCAGGCTGCTCACCACCAGGTTGTAGTCCTTGGGGTCGTAGAGGGAGAGCGGGGCCGTGGTGCCGTCGCTGTAGGAAATCCACAGGCTCAGGAGCGCTTCCTGCAGGACCAACACAGGCACCGGTTGCCCAGCACGATGCCAGTCCCACCTGCACCCTCTCAGCCATCCGTCCATCCCTCCTCCTTCTCATCCATCCCCCACGTAATCCTTCACCCCTCCACCTATTGAACCAGCCTTCTCCTTCCCACCATCTCCTCATTTTTCTCTTTTGACCGTTCTCCCCTCAATTCTCCCCATACTTGCTGAAGCAGGATGGGGCCTCTGAACATCTCCTCTTACCGAGGACCTGCCGGAGGTTTGGGACAAGGTGCGGGCAGCTTTCTGGCTGCCCCCAGCCTGCTGTCGGGTGGTTCAGGTGCTCAGCCCCTTCCCCACCATTCCCTGGTCCTTGGCATGGAGGAGAGGCCCAGGGGGCAGCCTGAGGAGCTTCAAGGTTCGGAGGCTGGAGGCCACCAGACAGGCAGCACCTCCAGAAAACCAGGCTCACCCCAACCCCAGCCCCAGAGGCTACAAGCTGGGAACTTTATAGGATTTCTCCCAGGCCCCTTTGTCCCCATGGTTGTGCCCCATCCCCAAGCCAAGGGTGGGCAGGGTGGTCTCATGGGTCCACAGGAAGGTTTCTGGGCTGCTTTGGGGTCATTGGGGGTATCTGGAGGACAGCAGGTGTTCGGGATGACCACAATCAGGATTTGGGAAAGGGTTTTTACAGGTTAAGCCCCCACTCCACCCCAAATCCCACCCCCCCCCAAGCCTCACCTGCTTGAAGAAGCTGAGGGTCTGCTGGGCGGCCGTCCGGGCGATGATGGTGTGGCTGTTACCAGGGCTGGGGTGCAGGGACAGCAAGAGGCTGGAGACCACCTGGGCCTTCAGGTCCGTGATGCTGACCTTCTCCTCCGCCACCGTCACCAGCGTCTCGCCCAGCACCGCCTCCACCAGCGGGGACACCACCTTTGGGGGACGAGGGGACCGTCACCACCCCACCACCCAAAGCCACGGTGATGGAAGGGTGGAAAGGAGGCCTGGGGGGTACCTTGAAGAGCGTGGTGCCCGGCTCCCTCCCCGCCAGCGTGAAGCTGTCCACCAGGTGGGCCACCCGTGGGTCATCCACGCGCATGAAGTCACTGACCAGGTCGGTCACCTCCACCAGCCAGTCGGGCCCCAGCATGGTGACCACCTGCCCCGTGCCCTCCGCCGCCGTGGTGTGGAACTGGGTGAAGACCTGCAGCGTGGCGTGCTGGTACTGCAGGGCACAGCCCCGGCTCTGCTTCCTCTCCTCCTCGTCCTCCTCGTGCTCGCTGTCCCGCACCGACCTGCGGGATGGGGACAGGAGAGGGGTGGCAGGGCAGGGAGAAACGAGGGGGGATGCGGGGTAAAGCCTCCTGGCCAAAAAGGTGCCTGCTATCTGTGAGCGTTTCAGAAGAACGTGCCAACCATGGTCTCTGCCCCCTAAGCAGCTGAGAGGACGAGGGATCTCAGGTTGGGATGGACACCTGGAGGTCTCTAGACCCCAAAGCAGGATTAACTTCGGAGCTTGGCTGCTCCCAGCCTCACCCAGGGGAATATGAATGTCACGGATGGATGCTTCTCACCACTTCCCATGTTTGACCACGCTCACTGTGAAATTTTCCTCTTTGTTTTCCAACACTCATCCTGCGTCCCTGACCTCTCACTTTGTCTCTAGGGTCCTCTGAGAAGAGTCTGGCTCCGTCATTTTTGATACCCCCTCATTAACCAGCTGAACGCGGTCATTAGCCCCCTGCCACCTTCACCTTGTCCTCTCCATCCTCTCCCTGGACACATCTTGGGGTCCTTCTGAGGACCTCCTCCAGCACCTTGCTGCCTCCCTCACCCTGGGGTGCCCCACACACAGCCCCCCCCCAGCACCCACCTCCTGTCCGGCAGGATGGGCACCCTCCAGCCCTTCACTTGGCTCAGCCGGGTGTCCGAGAGCTCGATGTGCAGCGGCAGCTTGGGCACCCACACCGTCATCTCCAGCGGGGCCGAGAGGTGCTCGTAGGTGAAGGTGACCCGGGCGCTCATGGAGCCCCGCGACTCCTTCCCGCTGACGAAGACGTAGTCACAGCTGCTGGAGACCTGGGGAGAGGGGAGGTCAGGGGGTTGTAATGCTCCTAGAAACTCCAGAGAGCCTGGCAGGAGGCTGGGACACCTCAGAGGAGCAGAATTACGCCGTGCACGTAGCTGGTTAAAGGCAGCCCAGTGAGCAGGGAGGCTCTTTCCTCCCCAAGGTCCTTGCTCAGAGGAATGGAGCCGCAAACACCACATCCATAACACACGTTTCCATCCTATCCAGCTCCCCCAGGCACCTTCTTTTGGTGCTTCAGCACCTTTGGCCACACACCGAATCGTGCCCTTCTACCATGTGTGAGCCCAAGGCACCAAGGGGATGTCCCCATCCCTGTCCCCACCTCCATCCCCGTCCCCGTCCCTCCTGCTCACACCAGAGCACACTTCCCAGAGTCCATCCGAATCCTTGCATTCATCTCCTCTCTCTCTTTTCCTCTTTTAATTCCCATTTATGCAAATGCCATTAGTTAAATTTGCTATAAAACAAACACATCCTGCGGGGGCCACTTATTACCGACCAATCCAAGCCAATTAAGGAGCTAAGAGGATGCCACTAAAGCATCGCCGGTGCTTCTGCTCAGGGCAGCGGAGTCAACAGCACCATCCCCTGCCCAGCAAGGGCTGGGGGCAGCGGGGCTGGGGGCTCCCACCTCGCGTCTGCAGCATTCCCTGCACCCAGCTCTGCCCCCAAAACACTGGGAATTGCACCCAAATTGTTTGCAGCTGGAAAAAAAAAAATAATAAAAATCTCTGCTCAGCCAGCAGCTCAGTCATTCTTTCTCAGTGGCACTGAGCACCTCAACAGTGCAGAAAACCCAAATTCCACCAAGCTGCTCTCCCACGTGGATTCTCTGATGGCTGATAAGGGACTGAGTCCATGCTGCACGCTGGCTGCCAGCACAGGAGGAAGCATCCCTGCATCCCTGCCCACCATATCCTGGGTGTGTACATCCATCCAGCTGCAGGAGCTTTGTGTTTCCCAGCCCCGTGGTCCCTGGGGATGGTGGGGGATGCTGCACCTGGAGCTCCTGGGGAAGCGCCCGCTCCGTGGCCAGCGGGAGGGAAGGGCCATGCAGGAGGGTTTGCTCTTGTACCGGCTCAGCCTGCCTGAAAAGACAATCTCAGCTCTGGCAGGGCAGCGTTTGAATAAAGATGAGCTCTTGGGTGAATCCTCCAGCACTAGATATTGTGCCATTTATCACAATAAATATGATGGGCTGCTGCTCGCGTTGCCTTCCCTAATAAATCCCCCCCAGCACCTCGTTCTGGGGGCCACTTGCTGTTCAGTTGGTTGGGGACCGGGGGGGATTCAACAACAAAAAGTACCGGCACATCGGGCCTGTCCTGATGATGGAGTGACTGCAGATTAGCTTCTAAATGAAGCGCACGCTTGTTGGGAGAGACTTCCCGGATTTGCAGCAAGGCGTCGGGAAGCGAGAGGCTGAGGTCTGCCTGGGCTCCGAGCCAAAACGCCACTGGCTCCACTTCTGCATGGCCTCAAGCATGGGATAAAGGGGATAATTCACCTCCAAGGCCCTCGGGAGCAGGAAGAGGGGGCCAGCCAGGGTCCCTGGGGGTGGCCGCGTCCCCGGGGCTGCAGCCCCGATGAGGTGACTTGCTCCTGGAGGGTCTTCAAGCAGGGGTGGGTGGTGGGCTCCTAAGGAAGGCTCAGAGGCAGAGGTGGCATCTCCTCTCCTTGCACATCCCTCGGCACGTGTTTTCCCCACGGCTGAGGATTATTTCCATGCCGCCTTGGATGGCAGCTCCTTCTCTCCGGGCAGAGCGCGGGGATTTTCCCTGTGTCACCGCATGCAGGGGTCAGGGTGACAGCTCTCACCCACCAGCCTTCAGGGGTGGCACCTTCACTGCCACGTCCACCAGGTCCACAACATTTCCCCTCCACGCAAGATCAACCCCCCAGCGAGCCACGCTGCCTGGGGAGAAGCATCCCTTCCCCGCTCCTCCCCGACGCTAAATTATTTACAGTAACAGATAGCGGATCCCACCATGTAAGCTTTGATTTATGTAACAGGTTTATAGCCCTGGCACCGTAATCATACTCCCCAATCTCAGCAGGGAAGCGAGAGCTCCCTCGGAAACGAATCCCTAGCACAAACACAAAATAACTCAGCAAGAAATTGCGCGGGGCTCCGGATGGCGAGCGAGCGGGGCTGGAGGGCTGCTCCATGCATTATTCATCCCCGCTCGCGTGCATGTGTCTGCTCCCCCCCAGGTCTGGGGACAGCGTGTAAATAGATTTACGAGTGGAAAGACAGCACATTAAACAGTTTAAGTGTCTTGGAGTCCATCCTGAAGTGTATTATTGCTCCAGTGTTTTATCACGCTGCGGAGGACCGGTCTCCATAAATTAGAGCCAGCACGGTAAATCGCACGGATAGGGGTTTTGTTCGAGAACTTGGGTAAACAGTCGGTGACACCGGCTGTCACCTGCCCGCGGGGCTGCTGGCTCCCAGGGGACCCCAGAAGAGAGCAGGTCCCAGCCTGGCCAGGGCTCTGCCCATCACCCCCTGCCCCGCTGGGAGAAGGGGAGGTGTCTGGGGGGGACGGATGGACGGATGGATGAGTATGGGGATAGAATAATGCAGGCGGGCGGAGAGATGGATACGTACAGTGATAGAAAAATGTACAAGGATGAATGGCTACGGCGATGGAAAATGCACAGCCGTAGCTGGATTCGAGGACGGAGGCTGCCTCGTCAGCTGGGGGGAGCAGGGGGCTGTCGCCATGCTCTGCGCCCACAGCCCAGCCCCTCTCCCCCGCCGCCCATCTCGCTCCTCTCCCCATCCCTCCCGCTGTCCCCCATCGTCCCCAATCCACTCCTTGGCCCCCTCCTTGGCCCCCTCCTGCCTCTCCAGGACCAGACCCCGGCCCCAGGAGATGAACATCGCCTGGTGGTGCAGGTGAAGTTGCTGATGGAAACGTGCGGCTTGCACTGCCAGGGGACAATATTTTACCTCGGGGCACTAAGTGCCGCGATAACCCTTAGTTATTGCTGCTGTCTGCGGCACCAGAGCAACCCGTGGCCTCCTGTGGTGACAAAAGGCCCCGTCCTTCACCCCATAGGGCCAGGGAGAGACACACGGGGACTGAAACCCCGGGAGAGGCTCAACGTGTGCTCCTTTGTGGGGTTATCCCTCACCGCCCGCACCCACCTTGATGATGTCTTCATTGTTGGACTTGCACTCCACCATGGCCGAGACGTCCACGATGATGCCGCTCAGCTCGATGGCGATGACCTTGACGGGGATGGCCACGGTGCGGCCCGTCAGGATGGCCGTGTTGATGATCTCCGTGTCCTGGGGACGGGGCGCAAAGGGGACCGTCCTGTAACAGGGCGGCTCGCTGTCCTGCACCAAACCCCAGGGCCAGATCCTGCCTGGTCCCCCTCCTACAGCAGCCCTGGGGAAGAGCTGGGGTGGGATTTATGGGCGGATAGGTGCTGCAGGGGTGGGATTTGGGGCAGGTGGGCTGGTGGGAGAGCCAGGAGCACAGGGGAACACATCGCCACCCATCCCTGCGCACAGATCCCTCGGGGGACACCAAACCATCCCCAACACCAAACCAGAGGAGCTAAGCAGGAGGGCTGGAGGAACATCACACCCTGCTCACCATGGCCAGGGGCACGATGGCCCGAATGTCCCTCTGGATGACCGTCAGCTCCGTCACCACCTTCTCCAGGTCGGGCGGGGGGTTGCGGCCCCAGTAGTCGATGTGCCACATGATGCGGCGCGTCACCGACTGGCTGGTGAAGTTCTCCATCTCGAAATCCAGCTGCATGACCTCAGAGGAGGTTTCCCCATCCCTGGCGGGGGGCAGGAGGGAGGATACAGTGAGCTGGGTGCCCCGGGGGACCGGCACTGGGTGGTCCCATGCATCTCCAGAGGGTCCCTTCGGGGGTGGTCACCACCACGGTGCTCAGCCCACACACAGCCAGGGGGCTGCTCCGAGGGAAACCCACACAAATGGAAGAGAATTTGATTTTTTTCTGCTTATTCCCAGTGGGAGAAAAGCCTTAGCCAGCTCCCCTGGGTGCTATATCAACACTCTGTGCTGGACCTGACCAGCATCACTAACCATGGGACGGGAACATGGATGAGGGGACAGCAAATGGCCACACAGGCTCTGTCCTCACCTCCTGGGCTCCATTCTGGCTGCCCAGATCTGGGGCACGACTCCGGGGGCAGCTGCTGGGGCGTAAAACAACCCAAATTGGCCCCAAATCACCCAAATCACCCCAAAGTTCCAGGGTCCCCTCCGATCCTCGCCACCCCCGAGGCAAACCGCTCGTGCTCGCCGGGCCCGGAGGGCGCCGCGGCGTTGAGTCATTCATCATTTCCATTACGTTAATATTTGATCGAGTTGTTTGTCTAAAAGGTGATTGTAATCACTTTAAATTCATCTCCCGTCTCTAACCTTTCAAGGCTGATTTGAGTCGGCGGCAGAGGCAGGGAGGGGGCAGGGGAAAGGGAGGGGAGCTGGGTGCCCCCCCCACCAGCCTGCGCCTGGCTCCGGGGTGGCACCGGGGTGGGCACAGGGTGTCCGAGCAGGGGACAAGGCAGCTGGTGGCCATGGGGACGTGCCATGGTGGCCATGGGGACACCCCGATGTCAACTGTGGGCTCCGACGTCCCTCTGCTCTGGTTGTTTTTGGCATTTTCCAGCATGGCCCGAGAGCATCAGCTCGCTCTAACCCAGCTCCTGGACACTTTTGCCTCCCTGACCCCAAAGACACCAGGTGATGGAGATGTGACCTAAAGGACCAGAGGGGACCGTGCCCGGGGAGCGCTCCCCTTCCTCCCCAGAGGGACTCTCAGCGGGGATCAGGACACCCAGCAAGGAGCTGGCCTCCCGTGGTGTCAAAACTTTTACAAAAATTAAAATATTTCCACCAAAACGGCAGGATCCACCGCGGCTTCACAACTCAGCCTCAAAATCCCCTATAAGCACCCACCAGCTCCCGAAACAACCGGGTGCTACCAGCTCAGACGGGGATGCAGCTGCAAAATCACCCCGATGACCTCGGAGCGCATCGCTTGACCCCCCCCCAGCACCCACGGGGCACCGCTGCCAACCAGGCGAAGACCAGCTCTGGACCAAAACCCACAGATTTCCCCAAATCACCCCCCTCGGGTGCTGCCCTGGGGTTGGGGGGGGGGGATTTTAGGGTCCCTTACCTGGGCCCAGCGCCCTCCGCCCTGGCCACGTCGACGGTGGCGGTGGAGTGCTTGCCGCCCGTCAGCAGCTCCGAGCTCACCAGCCACTGCACGCTCCTCGACTTGGTGCTGAGCAGGTTGACCCCTTTCTTGGCCTTCACCCTGCGGGGAGCCACACTCAGGGCTGGATCCGACCCCCCCCTAGCTGCCCTGCTGGGGCTGCAGGGGGATTTTGCACCCCAAATTCCCCCTGGCGCTCGGAAACATCACCCGCGGTGGAGGCGTCATGGTGGGGATGCGCCCACCCCAGCCCCTCTTTGCCGTGGGGTGCTGCCCCCACATCACCCCTCCGGCAGGAATTTGGGCTCCTGGCCCCAAGGTGAGGGACAGGAGAGCCTCAAGCACTGTGTCCCCTGTGCCAGGGGCTCGCTGCTGTTCACTACCAACTCCCACAGATGAGATTTAGGAACAGCTGCCCCGCGTGCCCCCCACGCTTCAATTTTCCTTCCAAGAAGCGCCAGCTCTGCCCTGCCACGGGGACAGTTTTAGATATAGGGATCATCAGCCAGCAGCCCTGATAGCGGAGGGCTGAGCCTGTCCCCATCGCACCCCCTCGTCCCTAAGGATGCCCCCAAGCACCTCCCCATCCTGGGGTGCTCAGCACCTCCTGCCCCAGCTCTGGGATAAGGGGGGCACATGGAGAGCCCCTGCTGACCCCACAGCCAGGTTGCACCTCATCCCCAAGGTGTCAGCGAGCAAATCCCACTGCTGCTGTCACAGCCCCAACCCCAGAACAACGGGGAGCACCACACCACAGCAGCAACGCTGTGAACCCAATATTGCAAAACCCCAAAACGCTTCAAAACCCCATAAGCACCCTCCCCATCCCCTTCCTCCACCCCACCCCAACCCGAACCAACCCTCCCTTACAAAACGGCACCGCTTTTGGGGCCGATCCCGGGGTCGGGCCCCTACCTGAGGGTGAAATGCTCCACCGTGGAGTTGGCCATCAGGTAGAGGAGGATGCTCAGCACCTCGCCGGGCTTCAGCGGCTTGTCGGGCAGCCGGATGAAGACGTTGCCATCCAGCCGGTGCTCCTGCATGGGCTGCGCGGGGGGCGCCTGCAGGAGGCTGACGCTGCCGATGCGCAGCAGCGGGTGCTGCGTGGGACCCTCGGTCCTGGCCCCCCCGGCACCCCCCCGGCGAGGGGACGATGCCGATAAGGTGTCCCCAAGGCACTGGCCGGCCCCGTCGGGGGCGTGCAGGGTGTAGTAGAGCTCAGCTTGCTGGCTCTCCCCCGGCACCTCCACGCTCTCGGGGCTCTTCCTCCTGCCCAGGGGCACGGCACCGGGGCCGAACCAGGCACGGGGCAGCTCCGCCTGCACCAGGCAGGTGGCCAGGCTGCCCCGCAGCCGGCACGAGCTCTTGATCTCGCGGGCGTCACGGAAAGCGTGGAGCCGCACGCAGGGCAGCCGGTCGGTCACGTCGAAGTCGTCCCAATCCCGGCCGGCCACGTAGAAGAGCACTTGGACCACGGGCTGGCTGGCCACCAGGCGGGGCTGGATGATGAAGGCGCGCACTTTCCAGTTGACCGTCAGGCGGTCGGGGACCTCCAGGGTGCTGGAGGGCTGCAGGTGCTCTTTGGGCAGCACCAACCCCGTGCTGAAGGGTCCCAGGGTGACGTTGAGCACCGGCAGCTCCTTGGTCTGGAAGACGACGAAGGGCTCGGAGCGCTGCAGCGGGGCGCTGCCGTTGCCCGGGGGGCTGGCCCCCACCTCCTTGAGGAAGAAAGCCAGGCGGGTGTTGGACAGGCGGTAGCTCACCGGCAGCATCACGGCGCCGGGGGGCTCGGCGGGCTCAGGGCTGGGGGCTGGACCCTTGGCGTGGGCTGCGAAGAGGATGGAGAGATGGGGTTAGTGCACGGCATCGCCCCCCGGAGCCCCCATGGCGAGGACAAGGCGGTGCTGCAGCCCCCAGGCATCTCAAAAGGGGGAGTCAGGATGGGTTTTTTTCCTGCTGAGCACCCCACAGCACCTCAGGGGTGGCTATGATTAATGGTGGGGGGGCTCCAGCCTCCCACCAACCCACCCTTGGCACGGGATGGGGTGTCCGGCAAACAGGGACACGTGCCATGAACTCATCCCACAAACCAGCCCCAAACTCTTCCCCCAAACTAGCCCCAAATTCCTCATCCCCCAAAGCAGCCCCAGCTCCCAGCCAAGCCCCCAGGTGCACGGCGCAAAGGGCGCTGAGCTCCTCCAGCATTAACCAAGCAGCAGGTCCAGCTGGTGAGCCCCGATTGTACCAGCCATGGACACGGCCCAGTGCAAAGTGACAACGATGCTGGTGGCTTGTGGGGGACCAGGAGGGAGCCGAGAAGGTCACACCACGTGGGGACACGCCTGGCCCACTGCCACCAACCCTCCCAAGTGACCTGGGGCAAATTGGCCCCGGTGCCCCACTCGTTGGGCTGGGTGGAAGCAGGAGGAGAATCTCCCAGCTGAACCCATCCCCAGCACACCCGGCCGCTCCTGCAGGAGCCTGGAAGACATCTCAAGGTCTTCACATCCGCGGCTGCCAGCAATTCCCAGGACACCCGGGGGCCCCCCCCCGTCACATCTCCCCGCCACGCAGCCCGGCGCTGATTGCAGCCGCTCCCCAGCGGCCCCAGCAGCCGCCAGCACCCAAATTACGGGCGGCGAGAGGAGCTGATGTGACGGCTCAGCCCCTGCCACGGCACCTGCCTGGGTGCTTCCACTGGGGGAGGGAAGCGTGCCGGGGGGGCTGCCCCAAAACTCTCACCCTTTCCTTTTATTTTATGCTTCCAGATGGATGGGAGCAGGTTTTTCTCCAGCTGGAGCATCGCTGTGGCCAGACCCATGGAGATACAGGCTTGGGGCCGAGTCGAGACCCCGTAACCCACCCAGGACCTCACTGCAGTGGGGTTTTGGGGCATAAAAGGCTTAGGAAGGCTCCTAAAAGGATTAGCGCTCGATACGGGTACCGATGGCATCCACAGCTGCTGCTTGTCCCCAGGGCCAGGCAGGTGCTGGGGACCCAGTGGCACTGCCGGTGAGGCCACCGCCGGTCCTGGGCCACGCAGCTAGGGCTGCTCCTGCCATTCCTGGTGTTTTCCCAGGAGTTTCAACACGAGGGATTGTTTTTTTTTTCCAAGGCATGAGATTATTCGCTGGAAAGCGGAGCTGAGAAACAATCCCCAAGTCAGAGCTACGTTGGATGAAATACCCACGAGAGCAAACGAGGCACTGGAAGCCAGGGAAAAAAAAAAAAAAAAGCTCAAGTTAAACACTGAATCACTGAAACAGTGCAAATTTTGTTCATTGTCATTTTTGTTCCTTAAAAAAAATACGGTGTTTGGGGAAGGATTAGATCATTTCGCACAGAAATCCACCCAAAGACCTGCTCCTGGCAGCACCGAGGGGCACCATCAGGTGATGCTGAGGGGGACAATTGGGGTGGCACCGAGCCCTGGCACCACACACAGAGCCCAGCACCACGCACCGAGCCCAGCCCCGTGCCGTGGGGTGGCAGCAGAGAAGGATTTGGGGCAGCAGAAAGGAGAACTGATGGAGAGAAGGGTGGAAGGAAGGAAAACCCTACAGCTCAGGACACCCTGGGCTGTGCCCAGCCCCTGCCCTGGGGGGGCAGCAGCTTTGGCACCCCCACCTCCAGCTGGGTTTGGGGGGACACAAGGGTTAAGCCCCGGCTGCCGGTTAACGGGATTTGCGGCGCCTGACCCGCATTGCCGGGTTTCTTAGGCTGGCGCAGAGGGGACCATATGGTCCTTCCACCCTCACGGCTCAGCACCACGAGCAAAAAGCAGATTTCTGCACCCAACCAGCCTGGGGGCTGCCCAGACCCCCCCCCTTCTTTGGTTAAAATCCCCCCCCTGCCCAGCACCACAGCAGGATGGGACCCGCACCCTCCCTCTCCAGGGTGGGCTCTGACCCACGGCGGGGAGAGAGGGGGCAGAGAGGGAGGTGGGAACACGCAGTGACCCCCCCAGCAGCCACATCTGCCCGGCCAGATGCGCCCCACGTCGCCGCAGCCAGATGGACCCGGGGATGGCCACGAGGGCACATGGGGACAGCGGCGTGGGACGTGGCAGCACCCACCCCACCGCCCTACAGTCAGGAGACCCCCCCAGCCAAGGGGGTTGATGCTTCTGGGGGTCTCTGGCAGTGAAATAATCCCATCCCCAAGGGGTGACCCCGCTCTGTCCTCCCTGCTTGGGGTCGGACAGACAGACCCGCCGTGGTTATGGCTAGCGGGGGGTTATGGCTTGCTTGCCTTCATTCTCACCCCAAATCCCCAGCAAATGGGGCTCATGGGGAGTGTGCCTCAAACCCAGCTCCATCCCCACTGCCCTGAGGCTGAAGAGCCTCCTCCTCCTCCTCCTCCTCCTCCTCTCGCCCAGCACCGATACCCAGCGCTGAGCTCCGGCTTAGCCCCAGCTCCAGCTGTCTGCCATAGGGATCGCTTTAGGCACGCTCCGGGGGGGGATCCTGATCCCGGCTTATCCCCCGGGCTGCAGCAGGGGGCTCCCAGCACGTATATCCCCACTTAGCGGGGGAAAAACAGAGAGAAAAACAGAGAGAAAAACACAGGAAAATAAAGACTGGGGGAGGGAGGTGGGGGCTGTGCCCCAGCTCCCCCACTCAGGGCAGGCTGCACTCTGCTGGTGCTTCTCCGGAGGAGTTCCGGCACTCCCTGGTGACCCTCGGGGACAAAAAGGCTCCAGGGTTTAAGCAGTGGTCAAAGAGGAGTGGGATGCGCCCTGAGACCCCAAAAAGGGCAGCCCCCAGGGCACAGCCTTCATCTCCAGCACCCCACCGAGCCTCCCGGGGTGCTCCCACCATGAAGCCACCCGCAGATGTCCCAGCTGTGACTTCGTTTCAAGGCAGCGTGAAACCACCCCGCTGCCCCCAAGCATCACAGTTAAAGATTTGGAGCCCCAAAACTTACAGCATGAGCCCCCCCGGGTCCATACTTCACCCCCACGGCCATTAGGGTCAACTGCAAATTGGGGACACAAGCACCACACACCGGGGCTGCCCCAGATCTGGGTGTCCCAACACCGGGATGCTCCAGCCAAAGGGGGACCTGGGCAGGGGTCAGGCTCACACCCACCTCCCCATGTCCAAACCCACCCCCGGGCACTGACCCCCACCACCTTATACCTCCCATCCAATTTGGGGCTGACCCCCAAACAGCATAAAACCCTATAAAAAAGGGGAATGGAGGTCTCCACCTCCACCCAAAACTCAAACCTTCATCCCCAGTGGTGCCAAACCTGGGCGCATCCCCGGCACGGGGAGCTTTGGGCATGGCAGGGGGAGCCCCCCCCGGTGCTCTGTGCCTCGATGCAGCCTGGGGAACCCCCCCGCAGCACAACCCAAGCCGAATCGGGAAACCCGGCCCTCGTGGGAAGCCTGGAAACGCTTCCCATCAGCCGGAGCCTTGGAAATTGTTTTCGGCGACATGAAAGACAACAAGCTCCCCGCGCCCGCCGACGCGGTGCGAGCCTCCATCTCCAGCCCTGGCTAATTGGAACTCAATTAAGTGAATAATTGTTACAAATGTACCGGCACCTCCCCCCGGCTCACGGCGGTGAGACGGCCGAGGGGATGCTGTGACGGGGGGGCCGTGAAGCCCCCGGGCCACCCACAGCCCCCGGTGCTGCCCCACGGCGGCGGTGGGACCGGGAGGCACCACGGCGAGAGGGACCCCGGTGCTCGTCCTGGGAGGTTGGTGGGGTTGGGGCTTCCCAAAAGCAGCCCGGGGTTGGTATTGGGTGGGTGGAGGTTGGGAAAAGAGGATGGAGACTCACTAGGGGCAGTATTGCTGCTCAGGGTGGATTCTCCGCTGTCTAATACAGGGTTGTGCTGACGACTCTCCCTTCCTTTAGGTCCCAGAGGAAAAGGAGAGGGATGTCTGTGTCTGGGGGCATCCATAGAAATCCTCCTCCCAGATCCCACCTGGGGACACCTCTTCCAACCACCAGCCCCCAACAAGAGCATGGTGGCGGCTGCTGGGGTGCAGCAACCCCCTGGGCAACAGCAGCACCCCTGGGTGACAGCCCAGCACCCCCTGGGGAGAAGCAACTCCCCCCAAAAAATGCTGGAAAAACCCACGCCGGGCACCCCAGGCTGCAGTGCTGAGCCCTGCGTTTCCCCCAGGAAATTATTAAAAGGGAAGGGAGGGGGGAGAAGGAACCTAAAGGAATAAATAAATACGGGCTAAATGGGATGTGCCGCGCTCAGGCGCAGCCTGCCATAAATTCCCGGAGCAGGCGAGGCTTTTACGCGGCAGCTACTTTAGAGCAATTTCCACAAATCACGTCAGGGGACAGGCCAGGGGCCGGGGAGGAGAGGGCCTTTGCGGAGGAGGAAGAAAAATGAAGAAATGAATTAAAAGGTGAGGAAAAAAAAAAAAAAAAAAAAGGAAAAATAAAAAGGACGAGGAATTGCCCGAGCGTGAATGTCCACGGGAACACCCCCGGGGCTCCAAAACGCAGCACAGCGGGGGGGTGCCGTGGATAAACCCAGCAGCTGCTGAGCCCAGGATTGAGACAGCATCGGTGTGGGGTGGCAGTGAGCCCCCTAAAGCCACCTGTCCTGCTCACAGCCCCTGTCCCATCTCTGTCCCCCCCCCCGTTGTGCCAAGGGACACGTTTTGGGCTGATGCGGCGCCGATTCATTCTCCCCTGTGCAGGGCAGTGCTGAGCCGGAGCAGGATGCAGCAAGAGGCACAAAATGAGCCGTGAAGGAGCCAGGATGGGGTCCGGCATTGACACAAAACACCCCGAGAGCAGAGGGAAAGCCCCAAAAGCAGAACAACTTTTGTCAGCCCCGCAAGGAGAGCACAAGCTGCCCCCGTAACCCTTGCAGGGCTGGAACACAAAGCACCCGAGACCCCGGGCTTTCAGCAGAGCTATTGAAAAATCTGTGATGGCAAATATTGCACAAGCCAATTCCTCCCAAATTGAGTGGAAACCCTGAGCTCAGAGCACCTCTACCGACGGCAAGGAGCACCAGGACCTGCCCCGTTACGCACCGGTCCCCTCACCGCCATCCCACAACCTCCCCGCGAGCAAAACCCACCCCAAAGGCAGCACAGCCCCGGCACCACGGAGCCCCCTCCTCCCTCCCGGGGGGGCAGCTCGTTAGCAGAGCCCCGTATTTAATAATAAAAGACACTGATTAGATTAGCCAGAGTGACCTTTTCCAGATGGATGGGATGCTCGCTCGGCGACGAGCGCCGCACGGGAGGGGAACGCACCGATTCCTCCAGCCACCCCTTTTGGGCTGCAAAGAGCCAAAAATTGGGTAACAGCATGCAAGAACCCCTTCCTCTGCCCTTTAAATCCCTGCTTTTCCCAGGATTTTTTTTTTCCTGCCTCCTCCCTACCGCCAGAAGCCATGGGATGGATGGGGACAGGCGGGTGGCTGCGCCCGCACAACGTCCGAGGATGCTCCACTGGGGCTGGGTTGTTTTTTTCCTTTCCTTCCCTTTTTTTATTTTTTTTTTTTTTTTAGGAAACAGATTTAGAAAGGAGGGACCACAGCAGCTGGCCACGGTGGGGTGAATTAAGCAGCATCGCTGTGCAACGTCCCGCTGTGGGGTTTCGTCTACCCGGTGCCCTGCCTCAGTTTCCCTGGGTGGTGCAGCAGGGGGAGCCTGGTCCCAAAATTCTGGGGCAATTTTTGTGCTGGCTCCTGCTCATCCTGCACACACAGCCCCAGCTGAGGGTTTCGAGGCACCTCTCCGAGCACCCAGGGACAAACCTGAAAAGGAGCAACTTGTTGCTGGGCTGCTGAACCAGCGGGCAGCAACCCCACCCCTAATGGGGTCTAAACCCCATTAGGAACCCGAGGGGAAGAAAAGGCAGCAGGGAAGAGCTGGGGTCACCTAAGGGCACCCTGGAGCTGGAAGACAGAATTTTGGCTCCGGGGTGCCCTCGTGTGACCCCTTCCTGCCTGGTTCAGCCCGGTTTGGGGGCCTCATCCTGCCCTGTGCCCCACCAGGAGGGCGAGGTGCTGCCGGCCCCCATCTGCTCGGGGTGCTGAGCCCCTGAGCCCCAGCCTCGCACCCGGGACCCGGTAAATGAGCAAACGCCGGGTGCGTTTTCCCCATTCCGGCAGCGAGTTATGGCACATCTCCACCTGCTGGCCTGAAAAATCCCCAAGGCAGGGGATGCTCGGAGCCGAAATGGGGCCGGGAGGTGATCCGCACCCCGTTGGGGTTGGGGTGCGCTGGCTGGAGCTCCCCTGGTGATCCTACACCCTCAGTCCTACACACGGGGCTCGGTCCCACTGGGAATTAAGGGGGGGAGATGTAGGGAGAGGGATATGGTCCCAGCCCCATCCCCAGTGGGGTGGAGGCATGGGGGAGCCAGCCCTGGTGGCCCCAGAGGTGACAGCAGCACCGTGTGGGGACCCCTTCGCTCCGGTTAGTGCCCCTCCACGGCACGGCTGTGGGGTCCCCCTTTATTTTTATCCCACACTCCTCAGGAGAGCAACCAAGCGGCACTACGCCAGCTGGAAAGCCAGGCCTGCCTTGCACGGGGACACCGAATAACCCCACATCTCCATCTCCAGGAGAGGGGAAACTGAGGCAGGCAGCGGGGCCGAGCCTCAGCGAGCAGCAGGGAGAGGACGCAGGGGCTGACCCCAAACCCACCCAAACAAACCGATGGGTGAACCCCCACTGTACCACATCCCAAAAGGGCTCTTCCAGCTCTGCAGCTCCGCCGTGCCCAGCACCCGAGCTCCGTCCCTCTGGAAAACCCTCGCACAGCCCCGGGGCCACCCCAGCCCGGGGGTTTGGGGATGCCAAAATCCCCTCTCTGCCAGCAGCTGGTGCGGGGCCGCAGCCAAGTGGGGGCTCCCGGGGGGCTCCCGGAGCCGCAGAGAAGCACAAAGCGGGGTGAAGCTGCCGCCGAGGGTCGATATTAAAAAGAAATAGAAAGAAATTAAAAAGGAAACGGGAAAAAAGCATCCTCGGGTGGCAGAAAAGGGCGCCGCGTAACCAGGGGCTGAGCCCAGCAGGCAGCCGGAGCGATTCCTAAGGAAGGCCGAGGAAATTTGGAGCTTTTGGCCGCTTTTTGTGGCTCCCTCCGAGACCTTCAGCTGTCCAGAAAAGGCCAAAGGGGCTGGTGAGGACAACTCACATCCCAAAACCATCCCCAAACCCATGGCAGGCGCCTCGCAAGGGTCCCCCGGTGGCCCTTGGGGCCACCCTCACCCACCGGTGCATGGGGGGGGGGGTCTGATTTTGGGGTGCTGGGGCTGGGAAATCCGCCCCATCCCTTAACGGGCTGGGTGGGGCCGGGTGGGCAGGAGGGATGGAGAGTGGGGAGTGGGTTCTGGGGGATCCCATAGTGCCAGCAGCCCCATGCCAGCCCCAGCACTCCCAGCCACCAGCCCGGCTCCGGCCCCCCCACCACAGCACCAGGCACCCCTCCTCCTGCTGGGGACCCCCCAACCCATCGCATCCCCCAGCCCAGGGGCTCAAACCCTGCCCTGCCATAAACCCAAAGCCTGACCCACCCCGCTGCCTGCTCCTAGCTATGGGGGGGGCTCCAAATAAACCCCCCCAGGAGGGGCTGGGGAAGCAGGGGCCGCATCCAGCCCCATGCCCCAAAACCCTGGCGAAGCCGGGAGATTTCCCCCGATGTCTCCGAGCATTTATCCCCCAGTGGGGCTGGCAGACGCCTGCCGTGGTTTTTTCCCCCCCCCCACGGGGAAACGCCGAGCCAGCCCCCCGCAGATCCTAAAGGCAAAATCAAGGCAGGGAAGGAAGGAAGGAAGGAGGGAAGGAGGACGAGCACGTTTCCCCCGCTGGCTGCCAACCCTGTTACCTGTTGGTCCCAAAAAAGCCAGTGCCTGGGGAAGCACCGTGGGTCTGCACCCGCTCCTGGGGTCCCTTTGGGGGGGGGACACAGGGGGGTCCCAGCACCCCCAGCCCCTGGGTGAAGTTGCGGTGCCCAGCGAGGCAGCGCCGTGCTGCGGGTGCTGCACCGGGAGCATCCCTGCTCCTGCTGCTCTGGGGGGAGCCGGGGGGGGGTCAGGGGAAAAATAAACCCTGGCTGCCCCCTGCAGCGCTCTCAGCACCCCCCCTTTTTATATATCATGTATTTTTTTTTAATTATTATTATTTTTCTGCTGGGGGTAAACAGCTCTCCCCAAGCTCCTCCGAGAGCCTCGGGGGGCTGCAGATGCTCGGGAGCCCTGCCCAAGCCCCCCCCCAAGCTCCTCATCCATGGGGTGCTGGGATGTGGTCCTGAGACCCCCCCCTCGGCTCCAGCAGCACAGCCCCAACCCCTGGGGGCACCCCAAAACCCCCAGCTGGACGAGGGGTACACACGGCACCCCCAGACACCAGCAGCCCCCCGCTTTCTGCGCAACCACCGGGGAAAGGCGCTTCGGAAGGTGCATTGGCAGGGGTCGCTTTTACCCCAAAAAAGCCCCCCCCCTCAAAAAAAAAAGCCCCCTGCAGCAGGTGCCACCATCCCCAGGGCTGGGATGTCGCGGGCAGGGTGACAGCAGCGATTGAAATGCAACTCAGGGAAAGTGAGCGCAGGCAGCGGGGCCCCCCCTGCCCAGGCCTCAGGCTGGGAGGGGGCAGCAGCACCGGCTGGGACCCCCCCGACCCCAAATCCTTATTTTTTTTAGGGTGGGGAAAGGGGTGAGGAAGAAGCAGGGGGAGAGGCTGTGCCCCCATCGCCGCACCCCAACCCAAAGCGATGCCCACGAGGAGGAGAAAGCGTTGGGGGGGCCGGGGCAGGGGGGGCTTTGGGGAAAAAGGGGGGGGTTGGGGGATAAAAGGGGGGGGCGACCCCTTTCTCCCCACCCGAGCAGACAGCCCCGTGAAGCTGTCATTTGATTAAAGCAGCAAAAAACTCCGATCTTCACCCATTTCATCTTGGGGGGGGGGGGCGCAGAGGGAGAGGGGAGGCAGCGGCTGCGGGGGGGTTTTAAGGCAGAGAGAGGCAGGGTTTGGGGGAGCCCCCCCAGGGACACAAAGCAGGTTCCCGTCCCGTGTCCCCCCCCCCCCCCACGGCACTTACCGGGGAGCAGCAGGCAGCAGAGCAGGGCGGCCAGCCCCGGGGGCATCTTCTTTGGGGACCCCATAGCGAAATGTGGGGTTAGGGGGGGGTGGGAAGGGGGGGGCAGCGGCAGGAGCAGCCAGGCCCCGAGCCCACCCCACCCCCCCGTGGCAAAAAAAAATGTGAAATAAAATAAAAATCCAAGCCAGGCACCAAAAAAATAATAATATATAGATACCCGCAGAAATCCCCTAAATCCAACCACGTGCGAGCCGGCGGCAGCAGCCAACGGGGGAATTTGGGGGGGGGGACACCAGTTTTGGGTTAGGGGGGCTCGGTGCCCCCCCAGCTCCCAGGGCACAGCACCCCAATCCTGCCGCAACCCCCCCGGTGCCTGCAGGGCGAGCGGGGGCGCGCCGAGCCGGGTGGGTCCCCCCCCCTCCTCCTCTTCCTCCTCCTCCTCCTCTTCCTCCTCCTCGGGATCCAGGGGGGGAGAAGAGCACGTGTGCCCCCCCCCCCCTAAGGAATAAAAAAAATAAAATAATAGAATAAAAGCTGCGCCGATGAAGGATGATGCTGCAGGGCTAGCAAGTCGCCGGCCCCCCCCACCTCTCTCCCTGCACAATAATAATAATAAAAAATCTTGATATCGTCTCCAAGCGCCTTTTTCCCCCCAAAAAAAAAAATCGGAATGAAAGAGGAAAAAAAAATAAAAATAAAAAATAATAAAAAACGACGATAACAGGAAAAAAAAAAAATAAAAGCAGCAGGAGGGTGAATAATTAATCCGAGGCAGATGCAATTAATCAGGAGCAGCTCGGCGGAGTCCCCGCATCCGAAGGCAAAGTTTGGGGGGAGCGGAGCCTGGAGGGGGGGGGGGGGGGCCGGGGCTCAGCCGCTGCCCCCCCGTGAGGGCTGGAAGCGGGGGGACCCGGCAACGAGGGGGGGTCCCCACCTCCTCCGCCCCCCCCCCGGTTTAAAGAGGGGGGTGCCCCGCCGCTGTCGGTAAATAAAAGCGAAAAGGGGGGGCGGGAGGAGGTGGCAATGGGGGGGGGGCTCTGCTCCTCGGCCCCCCCCACCCCCCCCGTCTCTGGACCCCCCGGTGCCGGGGGGGGGGCCCCGCTGCTGGGCGCTCCCGTGGCCGCTCGCCCGGCCGGAGCCGCATCGGGCTCCGGGGGGGGTCAGAGCGGGGAGGGCGGCAGGGGGAGGCGCCTTCCTCCTCCTCCTCCTCCTCCTCCTCCTCCTCCTCCTCCTCTTCCTCCTCCCCCTCCTCGGGCGAGGAGCTGGGAGCAGAGCGCATCAACGCAGCCCCCTTTTTTCCCCGACCCCCCCCCCCCCCCATCTTCCCCAAGCAGCCCCCCAGCCGGTCTCCATCCCACCCCCACCTCACCCAGCACCCATGGGTGCAGCCTGGGGGGGCTGTGGGGTCAGCACTGCCCTGCCCTCCCTTCCCTCCTGCTATAGGAGAAAAGAATAGGGCAAGCTGCGGGATGGGGGATGAGGGCGTGGGGAGAGGGGTGGGGGGCGCAGAGCACCGGGGGGGGACATTTGGCACCCCAGGGTGGAGAGAGGCAGCTGGGCTTGGCTGCTTCCCACCCCCCCGATGCCATTTGGGGGGGTTTTGGGGTCCTTCCCCATCAGCTGGGGTGTGGGGATGTCCAAGCCCCGGTCCCCCAGCACCACCCCGAGTTGGGCTTCCACCAAAAATGAGGGCAGGGAGGGGGTCCGGCACCCCCAGCCCCCCCAGCAGCAGAGGGGGGCGATGCTGAGGCTGCACCCAGGGGACCCCAATTCTTCCCCCCCCGTCCCATCCCGGTGGCACGGGGCTGGAGACACACAGAGCAGGCCAGATGTGCCCCCATCACCCCCCCACATGGCTTCCGTGCCCCCTCCCCACATTTCCCTTCCTCTGCCACCCCCCCTGAGCCCCCCCCCCCATGGCCCTTCCTGCTCCCCTGCCATATATTTTCCCTTCCTGCCTTCACCAGGAAATATTGGCCAGCGCGTTCATCCTGGAAGCCTCATTGATAGGGGAAGTGCATAAGACATCTCCATTAATGCCAAAATAATTCACGGCAATTAATGGGATCGACCTTGAGCGGCGACAGAAGGCGAAGAAGCCCCCGAGAAGGGCCCGCCGGGTGCGATGCCGAGCGGCAGCACCACGGGGGGGGAGGACGGACCCCAACCCACCCCCAGAGCACCCAGCACCTTTGGGTGCTGCCAGGGGGCTTTGCGAGCCATGCCGGGTGCCAGGATGATGCCACCCCTTAACTGGGACCATATGGGGGGGGCTCTGCCCCAAAAAACACCCTAGACCCCTCCGGGAGGGCAGAGCACGGTGTCCAGCGTCCCCAAAACGCCCGGTGGCTGCGGCGAGGGGTCCGGCCCTAGCAGGCAGGCGACGGCCGCTGGGTTTTCAGAAAAATCCCATGATTTATAAACCACTCTCCCGATTGCTTTGGGGAGGGGAGGGCTGACTCACGGGCTGCAGTCCCCGGGGACATGGAGAAGTGGCGGGGAGAGGCGGTGGCACGGCCGTGATTCATCCCTTCAGCCCGTCCCCAGCCTCAGTTTCCCCACTCCAAACCTGGCCCCGGGGCAGGGAATCAGGGCCGGTGTCAGCATCACGCACCCCATAACACCCACCCCATAACACCCATCATGGGAACGTTTCCCCGCTGCCAGACGAGGGCTTTGAAAGCAGGGTGCTCCCGTGCTCCCTGCCCCTGGCAGCTTCTTGGCACCGCCGCTGGGATATTTTTCAGCTGGTACAGAAATCTGTATTTTCATTTTTTTTATTTATGGCTCCGGGTTGGCAGGTGGTGGGGTCGGGGTGGGTAAGGGTAAGGGCAGGTGGCTGCGATCCCAATGCCTTGGGCGAGGACCAAAGCATTGGGTTGAGGCTATCGTGTTGGGGGGCATCCCGGCTGTGCTCCCCCATCCCAAACCCAGCCGGCAGCAGGAGCGAACCCCAAGCGAAAGCATTTCTGAAAGCATCCGCGCGGGACGGCCCCGTTAATCCCCATCCCGCATTTCACCTGCCGTTAATCCCGGGGCAGCACTAAGCGCCGGGATAACAGCGGCCGGCGGACGCTAATCCGGCCCTAATCCCTGTGGGAGCTGCAGAGGTGTTGCACGGGGCTGAGGCACAGGGGAAAAAAAAAAAAAAAAAGTCCTTTTGTAGGGATTTAACAGAAAAGCGAAGGGCCAGGGGTGGGGGTTGCACTTAGGGGGACACCACGGGCTGCTGTTTTTCAGGCTCTGACCCCAAAGAGCCTCCAAAACCAATAGATTGCTTATAAAAGAGGGGGGAAAAAAAATCAAATAAAAAAAAAATAATAAGGGAATAATAAGGAATAAAGCCTCAGCCAAAACCTCTCACTTTGTGACTATTTCTCAGCCAGGATCACTGCAGGCAGGGGAGTTCCTCACCCTAAAAGCAGCCGCCCTAGTAGTGGCCAGAGCGCTCGGAGCCAGCCCCACAGCCGATTCTGCGCGGTTGGGGGATTAATGAGCCTGGAACATGATTAAAAATATAGAGCAATGCCCTCCCCCCTGCAAGCAGCACCCGAAATACATTCATATCAGCCAACTTTCCTTATATAGTTCTGATAATGACATAAATATAGAAATCCCGTAATTGCCATAAATTCATTTTATGTTATTATTTCTACAGAAAAAGGAAAAAAAAGGCTTTTATTGTAACTCCTTGTCCAGCTGGGGGTTCGGGTTTGTCCCCTGGGGTTCGTGTCACCAGGCTGTGGCTCCCTACGGGCATCCGTGGCTCTGTCCCACTCCTCTTCCCCGGGTCGGGGCGAGCCTTGGCTGATCCCATACAAATTAAGCAGAGGGCACAAAAATCCTGCAGGTTTGGGCCATGAAGTGGTGGAGAGTGGGAAAGGAGCCTGCTGGGATCACCAGCAATGGGATCAGCTTGGGGACCGTCCCCGTCATCAGTCCCCACGGCCACCCCACAGCTCGCCGTCTCGCTGGGGTGATGCTCGCAGAGCAAAATGGGTGGGAAAAGCAGGAAATGGGCACAGATGGGTTCATTCTCTTACAGGACATAGGGTTGAGAGGGAGAGGGAGGGCAACAGGAGGCAGAAACCCTAAAACCATATATAAGCAGTCCCAGATCATGGGATAACAGGGAGAAGAGTCACAGCGGGATGCCTTGCCACGAGGGCTGCTGAGCCCAGAGCTCGCCCCACAAATTGTTTCGGCTGTACCCCAAACAGCGTAATGGCACGCGGGGTATCAGAAGCACTATTTATACTATCCCAATAAATATTTTAATAGCACATAAAAGTAAGGGAAGGGCGAATCAAAGCCGGCGTGCCGAGCCATTTTGGGCTTGCGAGATAAAAACATTTCATTTCAGCTTCACTGTTTGGATTCGTCTTTGCCTCTCCTTTTACATTCTGCTGAAATATTAATTTGGGGCTATATCATAGCCCTTTAATATTTCATCTGCCATAACAAGTCAGCATTACCAAAGTTGGTGGGGCTCCGCATGGGGGAACGAAGCGGCCCCATGGGCGGAAAACCCCGCGGAGCGGCTGCTTTGAAAAGGGAAGGTTTCAACAGACCGCCGCTCATTTATTCCCCTTTCCCTCCCCAAATTTTCACCCCATGGGGCAATTCTGGCATGAGCACACGGTGCAGTGCCCCGTATGGATGGAGGCAGCCCCGCATCCACGCAGAAAACCCACAAGCGCCGTGTTTCCCCGTGCCGGGGATTCACGCACCTAATTACAGCAGCTAGAGAGGAGGGGGCGGTTATCTTGGCAGCCGGCAAGGCCAGCAATAGATTTTCTTTTCTTTCCCTGTTCTTTGTTTTCTTTTCTTTCTTTTTTCCCCCAAAGACAAATCCTGGCGGAGATTCGGACAAAATCAGCGCTGGGCTGTGGGGGGAGGCACGGCGCGGGGTGGTGCTGGGTATCAGGGACAGCCCCAGGTGGGGACCAGCCCGTGTTTTTGGTGTCGTTTTGTTGTCACCTCGGACAGGGAAAGGGGATTTGCATCCCCTAAATCAAATAACAAGGCTTCGACAGACGAGAGGCGAGCAGAAGCTGCAATCAGTGGGGATTTGGGGTGGGTGTGAGCGACCCCAGCCCAGAAAGGGACCTGCTGTCGGGGAATCCCTGCCTCTGCCCACCCAGACCCCATCACCATATAAATATATATAGGAAACCAGTGCGGGATCCCTTCTTTTCCAGCTCCTTCCCCATATATTGCCAGGGGACGTGATCCTATTTGGGCCATGCATGGCAGCGTGTCCCCAGGACGGGGCACCGTCCCCATCACCAGTCCCCACGCTCCCACGGGGGGGACACCAACCCATCACAACCCGCGTTGCCCTCCCTCTCCCCCCCCTTTCCCTGCCTCTCTGGCCGAGCAGGAAAGACAGACAGCGAAAAGCACTTAAGAGGAGGAGAGGATCCCATTTGCTTTCCCAGTCCCCCCTCGCTGGCTCAGGCAGGTCAATTTTCCGGAGGCTCCCCCGGTCCCTAATCAGATCAGGGCTGTATGGGGTGGGGGAGGATTTAGGGCTGCCCTCGGCGGTGCTGTGGGGATGAGCAGAGCTCTGTCAGCTCCCACCCTGTCCCCAAAGCACTGAGAACCCACTCCTGGCTGTCCCACCCAGGGGGTGCCACCCCGTGTCCCCCAAACCCACACCACCCCCGTGTCACAGCGTCCCCAGCCCTGCTTCTCCACGTGCCCCCCAGGGGATTTTGGCCATCGTTAGGATGGCTTCATCTAGGAACTGCAGGAAAAAGGATGCTTGGTGGGGATGAAGAGAAAAAAGACCCACGGCTCGGTGTCCCCCTCTGCCACCTGCCTGGCCCCAATGGGGACGGGGACAGGTTTGGGGACGGGGCGGTCGCCAGCTGAGCAGCGAGAGGCCCCGGCGGCAAGCAGGGCTTCCCTTTCCCCTTCACTGGACCTGTCACAACTGTGCTCGGTGGGGACTGGGAAGAGCTGGGAGAAGGCCTGAGAGCAGCTCAGCACCCGCAGCCCCGTGGGATCTCCCCCCTGACACCACCCCGTCCCCTGCAAAGGGTTTTTAGTGACCGCAGAGGTGTTTGTTCCCGGGGACCCCAAAAAGTGGGGGTGCTGGAGCTGCTAATTGCGAGCAATGAGGCATCCAACACAGCCCCAGGGGGGCACTGCAGCCCTGT